CATAGAGACAGAATAATTTATTTCTTCATAAATTCTCTTTCTATGCAAAGCATGGATATGTAAGAGTGGCCTCCCAAGAATTAACTTTTATCAGAATACTGAGGCCAACGGGGCAGAAAGTAAAAACACTCCTTAATATGGGCAACTTTACCTCATTGTAGATTATTTAAAAATGCAAATTATTAACTTTTCTTTCCTAATATTGAGGGATAAGTTTCAAAAGTAAAATATTTTACTGAGTTTACTTTTTTGTATATCTATTTTATGAGATAAATTTTGGCCTGGAAAAGGTAGTTCAACTAGTGTGTTAAAATTTTGTATTAAGGTAATGGGGTCATTTTCTTCTATGTGGTAATATATTCATGCATAGGGGAAATTGCCAAAATAAGGTATATAAGACAGTAAAATTATAAAATGAAGAAAAAAGGTTAAGAAGTGGTATGATCATTAAAAACAATGCCAAGAATTTCTGAAGAAAATTAACAATGCATTTTTTCCTAAATATTTGTTAAGTACTGAAATGTAAATTTAAATATTCAGATTCACCGTATAGTCCCACATTGTTGCTCCTCCAAATGTAGACAACACGAAGACCATCACTAAAGCTAACTGAATTTCAGTTACATCCACTCTAAAAAGAAAGGACAAAGAATAGAAAAGGTATTTGTAAATAAAATTCATAAATGTGAAAGTCAGTTAACCATAGGTTAAATATCAAAGATAGAAGAATCTTTTCAGGCTTAGCTTATTTTACCTTTTGTTCCATCACTGAATTATCAATTTACACGATTAAATGAAAAGCCCACTGAACAACATGTGCTCACATAGAGGTAAACATTAGGATATGCACAGGTTGGGATGGGGGTAAGCTTGTACAGCATGTATAAAATTGCTGAGAGCAGTTATCATTGAGATTACAGAAGGATTTTACTTTCTACTTTATGTACTTCTGTAAAGTTTGAATTTTTAAATAATAATCATGTATTACTCTTGTAATGAGGAAAAATTATAATAATATAAAAACAACCAGATGACTTAAGACAAATTGAAAACACTCCCAAGTGAATTTCAGTTGAAGAATAGGGAAAGTTAAAACAGCTTTATTAGGTTACTAACAGTCACTACAGCTTTTTGGTTTCCATAGACATTTTTCCCCTAATATATGAACATACTTAAGTTCATTTAAAAAAAAAACCCACTAAAACAACATCAGTCTCCAGTCTGCATTGCCTGAAGCTATCGACTGACTCTCTTATCTCCTTTGCTCCATACACAGGCTAACTGAAAAGTAGTTCACATTTGTAATTTCCTCTTCTTCATATTTGCTGCTTAATCCACTGTAGTCTGGTCTTTGGCCCCATTCTACTAAAATTGTTTAAGATAACAATGTTTAAGGTAAACAATGACTTCCAATTTATCAAATCTAAGGGATATATTTCAGTTAATACCTTGGTTAACTTCTCTGCAATACTTAAAATGCTGATCATTCCCTCTTTCTTAAAATGTTTTGCTATGTTCTTGTTTATTCCATGCTCTCTCCTGATTCACCTACCTTATTGGAAGCTCTTCTCAGGCTCCCTCCTAGACTGCTGCTTCTTCCACATCTTAAATGCTACTACTTCCAGAATTCCATCTTTTCTCCTTTTAGATTTTCTGAACAATTCTATCTAAGACTACCATCTGTAGACTAAGGACATCAAAATCCCTATCTCCAAATCCACATCTTTTTTTCCTGCTGAGCTCCAGATTTTTTATGTCTATCTACTTTACATCTCTGCGTGGATGCCCTGGAGTCTTTGGATGCTAGAGGAATACTTACTGCTCTGCAAATACAAGATATGCAGCAATTATATGACAAAATAAAACCAGACAGGGAATAAAAGACTTCTAGACTAAGTTACTTTGGGGGCAGTTAGTAGGAGGTGAACTGAACATTAACCCACAAATAAAAAGAAAATGTAAAAAATGATACCCAGTATTTGTAAGACCAGTGACAGGTAAACCAAGGCCTCCAGCAGGAAGTTAGTTGAAAAAGTAAACATAATAATATAACAAGTAGTACTCTGTAGAGAAAAAGGAAGAAAGGTATAACATTTAATGAACATCTATTATGAGTCTAATCAGCTATACATTTTCCGATAAATTTTTTGGAGAAGGAAACTTAAATGATTTTCCATGCCTACACTGGAACAGATGAATATTGCCATAGGAAAATGCCTCAGAGCCAGTACTCTTCCTACTACACTTATGAGTCATTATCAGAGTTTTGTGCTCTTTTTCCAGTAACAAAAGTAGAATTATATTTAATTACCCATAATTTTCCTAGGTTATGACTAGTGACCAGTAGCAACTAGGAAAGCTGGTAGGAAACAGAATAAGCTTTCTCTCAATGAACTAAGTGACCCAAATGAGGATTGAGGTAGGAACCTTGGTTTCATATATGCATCATTCATACCATAGATTTTATATTATTTTTTAAAAGATTTTATTTATTTATTTGACAGACAGAGATCACAAGTAGGCAGAGAGGCAGGCAAGAGAGAGAGGAGGAAGTAGGCTCCCCGCTGAGCAGAGAGCCCAATGCGCAGCGTGATCCCAGAACCTGGGATCACGCCCCAAGCCAAAGGCAGAGGCTTTAACCTACTAAGCCACCCTGGCGCTCCCATACCACAGATTTTAAATTAAACTCAAATCTTCATTCTGCCTCTCTGCCTTTTAAGGATAAACTAAATAAATGATGATTCTTGAGTCTGGAAAAAAAAAAAGCTGAAAGGATATCATACAAAAGAACAGAATCACTAACCAAGTACTCAAACATTTGAGCTATGAAGAAACAGTTGAAGCTTGAAAAATATAGTAGACAAAAGAATATTCTGTATAGCAACTTATAGACTTAGAGAACTCAATAACGGGTCCAAGTTTTTAAAGTTTGGATCCAAAAAAGACTTTAAAGAATACTGGGGATATTGTTCAAGTAAATCCTTAATCCCCAAACTGTTTTCATGGAGGACAATCTACAACAGTGTTATTCAAAGTGTGGTCCAGGGTTTGTAACCAGTTTGCAACGAGACGGGTACAGAAATTGAGAGTAAGCATTTCAAAACTTTTATGATAATTTGACAGAGTAATTTTGTATTTGTTAAATTAAATGAAGTATTGAGGACTGTGTTTTGTAAGTTGATTTTTGTTTTTTGTTTTTAAACCACATGTTATTAGTCCACCATGGACTAAGGGTAGGGGCAGAAACTCATCCTTGACCATAAGGTTTTTTGAGAAATGAACTTGATATCATATGGAAATTCTCATACTTTTGAAATTAAAGAAAACTGACACCAAGTTTAAATGTTCACATGTAACAAAACAGCACAGAATACAAGTAAACACTGGACTTGGTTTAGGTTTTAAAATTAAGCTTTAAGCGGGGTGCCTGGCTGGCTCAGTTGTTAAGCATCTGTCTCCGGCTCAGGGCATGGTCCCAGGGTCCTGAGATCAAGCCCCACATCGAGCCCCATATTGGGCTCCCTGCTCGGCGGGAAGCCTGCTTCTTCCTCTCTCAGTCCCCCTGCTTGTGTTCCCTCTCTCACTGTGTCTCTCTGTCAAATAAATAAATAAAATCTTAAAAAAAAATTAAGCTTTAAGCATTGCTCTATAAAATTGCACAAGGTACTTGCTACAGGACGGCAAACATGCTACAAATAAGATATGCCTTATCCCACATGGCAAACATTAACATAGAGACAGATTTTAACTATAATCCTATATTGTGCCTAAGGAAAATACTAATTCATGTGGCATTGATTAGTAAAAGTTGGAAATTATAGTTAAAAATACTTATTAATATTTTATAGTTTAAATGATCTAATTCAAGGTAACAAATATTTGCACTGAAATCCACATATTTTCAAAAGATAAACATATAATAATGAAAATATCCACAAGTAAAATAAAATAGTATTTCTGCTTCTCTTTTGTACTACTCCAATAATAGAAATGCTATAAAAATTAAGCCTCTCAATAGATGAACATATAAAGAAGATATATCTCACACACAGGTGCACATACAACACACACACACACACACACACACACACACACACACACACACACACACACTAAAATCTTAAAAAAAAAAAAAAAAGAAATATTTAAAAAAAAAAAAAGTTGGCAAGAATTCTGACTCCCACATAAAAGTATTGAAGAAGTTTTAAAAAAATAAAAAGATATATATATATATATATATATATATATATATATGAATAAATACAAAAGTATTATAGCATGAGCAAAGTGTAAAAAGAACCCCCAGAAACACAAGGTGTACCTATTCAACATAAGAATTAAGGTTTAAAATTTCACCTTTTAAAATATAAGAATAATTTTTAAAATATATTCCAGTGAAATGTCTGTAACATTTATTTCATGAGTAAAAAAATTGCCCTGTATGTGAAACCATGACCTTTGGCAACTTTCTTGCTATTAAATAAGGAACTCATTTCCTTCTTCTCCTCTCCCCTATTAGTGTAAGGCACAAGAAAACAAATGGCCACTCAATTTTGTACAGTAATGGGACAGTGGATGATTAAACAGGATGTCAGAAAAGTCTACTAAGAAAAAGGCTGAAGAAAGGAAAAATGCTTTATCAGTCAAAACTTTTTTTTTTTAAGACTTTATTTGAGAGAGAGCATGCAAAGGAGAGAGCACAAGCAGAGGGAGCAGCAGCAGGAAGAGGGAGAGGGAGAAGCAGACTCCCTACTTAGCAGGGAGCCCAATGTAAGTCTCCATCCCAGGACCCTGGGATCATGTCCTGAGCAGAAGGCAGCTGCTTAACCACTGAGCCATCCCAAGCACCCCCAGTAAAAACTTTTTAAAATACTTCTTGTATTATGTGTGGTTCCCTTCCCCATTCTTGAACATTGGGATGTTTTTAGTATCTCTGTATCTGATAATAATAAAACTTGTAATAAAATTAATACTAAATGATGATGAAATTAGTATCTTACTGCTATAGTGGATCCATTCTTCCCAACACCACCATGGAGGATAACATGGAAATAATTTGAACAGGAAAATATTGCTCCACCTACTACTCCAAGAACTGGAAAGATCTTCAGTTTTATTTCTAGAATGGGTATCTTTAGGGGTAGAGGAAAGAAATAAATCATTAAGAAAATAAGAATTTCTTTTCCTATTAAATATTAAAGAAACATTATAATATGACCCTATGTGATAAGCTATCCTTTTTCTTATAATCAAATCTTAACTCCTGGATGTACCCTACAGTGGTAACTTTTCTTTTAATGGTTTTATTTATTAAGTGAAAAATGAATCCACCAAATTCAGGGAAGTCTACATAACCGTGATGAAATATTTAATCTCATAAACCTTCATCTGACTTAAACATGAAAAAGGATAGTTCCCTTGAATTTAGTACCTCTAAAAGACTGCATCACAGGAGAAGTCAGACACCATGATCTGCATCATGAATGTGACAAATATCACAATGTGTGTGCATGCAAGAATTTTGTGTAGTTAATATCCAGGATTAAATCTCTAGCAGTATATTTACCTGTTGGTCAATATGCTCTTCAAGAAAACTTCCCAAGGCAGCAAAGGATTTAAAAAACAGTAATAATAAGTTGCCAAAAGCTAGAGGCTAATGCATTTTGAAAACAGGCTATGAAATATTTTACCAACATTTGTGGAAACTACAGATTAACAAATTTAGAAAATCTACATCTAAAATAAGTATTCTTGTTGGTAAAAATAAACAGGTGTGCTTTCCTCCTATGGTATTACCAAAACATTGAATGAAATGATTTTAAGATTAAATTCTTTCCCGTTATAAATAAATCAATTAAATTTAAGACAACAACATCTGACTTAATAACCTAACTGCCTGCCTCTAGGTCAACATTCACCTTTTTTGGGAACCAGCTGAGCAGTGAACATAGAAGACACATCATATCCCTCTAGTGTATTTTAGAGGCCTACAGTAGCATATCTTTGATTCTATTAGTCTTCTAGAATGAGAAGGAATATGAATGGCTTAGGAAATGTACCACTACTTAAAAATATGCTTCAAGTCTGAGCCAGTGATATGAACTGTAATTGGTAATTCTGAAACTATACTACAGGGAAATTTTACTATTTTTTAATAGACAATTTTTAGAGCAATTTTGGATTCATGACAAAATTGTATGGAAAATACATAAACTCCCTATATACTCCCTGCCTCCGCCTCCCAATGCCTCCCCCCGCCCATCAACATGTCCCACCAGAATGTTACATTTGTTGTAATACATGAACCTACACCAATACATCAATATTATCACCCAAAAACTATAGTTCACATAACAGCTTACTCTTGGTGATACATACTTTTTATGAGTTTAGACAAATGCATAATGACAAGTATCCATCATTATAGTATATCACACAGAATAGTTTCACTGCCCTAAAAATACCCTGGGCTTTGTCTATTATTCCTCCATTCCCCATCACCTTTGGTAACTGCTGATCTTTTCACTGTCTCCATTATTTTGCCTTTTCCAGAATGTTATATAGTTGGAATCATATAATATATGTAGTCGCCTTTTCAAATTGGTTTCTTTCACTAAGTAATATGCATATAAGGTCCCTCCATGTCTTTTCATGTCTTGATAGTGCTTTCTTTTCAACATTGAATAATATTCCATTGCCTGTATGTACCATAATTTATCCATTCACCTACTGAAGGACATCTTGGTTGCTTCCAAGTTTTGGCAATTACGAATAAAGCCGCTGTAAACATCCGAGTTCAGGTTTTTGTGTGGACATAAGTTTTCCGCTTATATGGGTAAATATCAAGGAGCACGGTCGCTGGATCCTATGGTAAGAGTATGTTTAGTTTTGTATCTCTTACTATTTTTACTGGAGGTATATATCTGAGTGATTAAAAACACAGAATCTGGAATCTGTCTTCTTAATTCCAGTACTTACTAGCTATGTGTCCTTGGACAAATTACTTAATTATTCTAAGACTTACTTATAAAACAGAATAATGATAGTATCTATTTCATAGTATTGTTCTGAGGGTCAGATAAAACAGTGATGGTAAACTGTGGGAACATAAGGTGTTCGTTCAATAAATGTTAGTTGTTGGCTGTTGATATTGTCCTTATTATTCTTATATCTATGGGCAGGAGGTTGTGAGTCAGCAAGTGTTATGGGTCATAGAGACAGAATAATTTATTTCTTCATAAATTCTCTTTCTATGCAAAGCATGGATATGTAAGAGTGGCCTCCCAAGAATTAACTTTTATCAGAATACTGAGGCCAACGGGGCAGAAAGTAAAAACACTCCTTAATATGGGCAACTTTACCTCATTGTAGATTATTTAAAAATGCAAATTATTAACTTTTCTTTCCTAATATTGAGGGATAAGTTTCAAAAGTAAAATATTTTACTGAGTTTACTTTTTTGTATATCTATTTTATGAGATAAATTTTGGCCTGGAAAAGGTAGTTCAACTAGTGTGTTAAAATTTTGTATTAAGGTAATGGGGTCATTTTCTTCTATGTGGTAATATATTCATGCATAGGGGAAATTGCCAAAATAAGGTATATAAGACAGTAAAATTATAAAATGAAGAAAAAAGGTTAAGAAGTGGTATGATCATTAAAAACAATGCCAAGAATTTCTGAAGAAAATTAACAATGCATTTTTTCCTAAATATTTGTTAAGTACTGAAATGTAAATTTAAATATTCAGATTCACCGTATAGTCCCACATTGTTGCTCCTCCAAATGTAGACAACACGAAGACCATCACTAAAGCTAACTGAATTTCAGTTACATCCACTCTAAAAAGAAAGGACAAAGAATAGAAAAGGTATTTGTAAATAAAATTCATAAATGTGAAAGTCAGTTAACCATAGGTTAAATATCAAAGATAGAAGAATCTTTTCAGGCTTAGCTTATTTTACCTTTTGTTCCATCACTGAATTATCAATTTACACGATTAAATGAAAAGCCCACTGAACAACATGTGCTCACATAGAGGTAAACATTAGGATATGCACAGGTTGGGATGGGGGTAAGCTTGTACAGCATGTATAAAATTGCTGAGAGCAGTTATCATTGAGATTACAGAAGGATTTTACTTTCTACTTTATGTACTTCTGTAAAGTTTGAATTTTTAAATAATAATCATGTATTACTCTTGTAATGAGGAAAAATTATAATAATATAAAAACAACCAGATGACTTAAGACAAATTGAAAACACTCCCAAGTGAATTTCAGTTGAAGAATAGGGAAAGTTAAAACAGCTTTATTAGGTTACTAACAGTCACTACAGCTTTTTGGTTTCCATAGACATTTTTCCCCTAATATATGAACATACTTAAGTTCATTTAAAAAAAAAACCCACTAAAACAACATCAGTCTCCAGTCTGCATTGCCTGAAGCTATCGACTGACTCTCTTATCTCCTTTGCTCCATACACAGGCTAACTGAAAAGTAGTTCACATTTGTAATTTCCTCTTCTTCATATTTGCTGCTTAATCCACTGTAGTCTGGTCTTTGGCCCCATTCTACTAAAATTGTTTAAGATAACAATGTTTAAGGTAAACAATGACTTCCAATTTATCAAATCTAAGGGATATATTTCAGTTAATACCTTGGTTAACTTCTCTGCAATACTTAAAATGCTGATCATTCCCTCTTTCTTAAAATGTTTTGCTATGTTCTTGTTTATTCCATGCTCTCTCCTGATTCACCTACCTTATTGGAAGCTCTTCTCAGGCTCCCTCCTAGACTGCTGCTTCTTCCACATCTTAAATGCTACTACTTCCAGAATTCCATCTTTTCTCCTTTTAGATTTTCTGAACAATTCTATCTAAGACTACCATCTGTAGACTAAGGACATCAAAATCCCTATCTCCAAATCCACATCTTTTTTTCCTGCTGAGCTCCAGATTTTTTATGTCTATCTACTTTACATCTCTGCGTGGATGCCCTGGAGTCTTTGGATGCTAGAGGAATACTTACTGCTCTGCAAATACAAGATATGCAGCAATTATATGACAAAATAAAACCAGACAGGGAATAAAAGACTTCTAGACTAAGTTACTTTGGGGGCAGTTAGTAGGAGGTGAACTGAACATTAACCCACAAATAAAAAGAAAATGTAAAAAATGATACCCAGTATTTGTAAGACCAGTGACAGGTAAACCAAGGCCTCCAGCAGGAAGTTAGTTGAAAAAGTAAACATAATAATATAACAAGTAGTACTCTGTAGAGAAAAAGGAAGAAAGGTATAACATTTAATGAACATCTATTATGAGTCTAATCAGCTATACATTTTCCGATAAATTTTTTGGAGAAGGAAACTTAAATGATTTTCCATGCCTACACTGGAACAGATGAATATTGCCATAGGAAAATGCCTCAGAGCCAGTACTCTTCCTACTACACTTATGAGTCATTATCAGAGTTTTGTGCTCTTTTTCCAGTAACAAAAGTAGAATTATATTTAATTACCCATAATTTTCCTAGGTTATGACTAGTGACCAGTAGCAACTAGGAAAGCTGGTAGGAAACAGAATAAGCTTTCTCTCAATGAACTAAGTGACCCAAATGAGGATTGAGGTAGGAACCTTGGTTTCATATATGCATCATTCATACCATAGATTTTATATTATTTTTTAAAAGATTTTATTTATTTATTTGACAGACAGAGATCACAAGTAGGCAGAGAGGCAGGCAAGAGAGAGAGGAGGAAGTAGGCTCCCCGCTGAGCAGAGAGCCCAATGCGCAGCGTGATCCCAGAACCTGGGATCACGCCCCAAGCCAAAGGCAGAGGCTTTAACCTACTAAGCCACCCTGGCGCTCCCATACCACAGATTTTAAATTAAACTCAAATCTTCATTCTGCCTCTCTGCCTTTTAAGGATAAACTAAATAAATGATGATTCTTGAGTCTGGAAAAAAAAAAAGCTGAAAGGATATCATACAAAAGAACAGAATCACTAACCAAGTACTCAAACATTTGAGCTATGAAGAAACAGTTGAAGCTTGAAAAATATAGTAGACAAAAGAATATTCTGTATAGCAACTTATAGACTTAGAGAACTCAATAACGGGTCCAAGTTTTTAAAGTTTGGATCCAAAAAAGACTTTAAAGAATACTGGGGATATTGTTCAAGTAAATCCTTAATCCCCAAACTGTTTTCATGGAGGACAATCTACAACAGTGTTATTCAAAGTGTGGTCCAGGGTTTGTAACCAGTTTGCAACGAGACGGGTACAGAAATTGAGAGTAAGCATTTCAAAACTTTTATGATAATTTGACAGAGTAATTTTGTATTTGTTAAATTAAATGAAGTATTGAGGACTGTGTTTTGTAAGTTGATTTTTGTTTTTTGTTTTTAAACCACATGTTATTAGTCCACCATGGACTAAGGGTAGGGGCAGAAACTCATCCTTGACCATAAGGTTTTTTGAGAAATGAACTTGATATCATATGGAAATTCTCATACTTTTGAAATTAAAGAAAACTGACACCAAGTTTAAATGTTCACATGTAACAAAACAGCACAGAATACAAGTAAACACTGGACTTGGTTTAGGTTTTAAAATTAAGCTTTAAGCGGGGTGCCTGGCTGGCTCAGTTGTTAAGCATCTGTCTCCGGCTCAGGGCATGGTCCCAGGGTCCTGAGATCAAGCCCCACATCGAGCCCCATATTGGGCTCCCTGCTCGGCGGGAAGCCTGCTTCTTCCTCTCTCAGTCCCCCTGCTTGTGTTCCCTCTCTCACTGTGTCTCTCTGTCAAATAAATAAATAAAATCTTAAAAAAAAATTAAGCTTTAAGCATTGCTCTATAAAATTGCACAAGGTACTTGCTACAGGACGGCAAACATGCTACAAATAAGATATGCCTTATCCCACATGGCAAACATTAACATAGAGACAGATTTTAACTATAATCCTATATTGTGCCTAAGGAAAATACTAATTCATGTGGCATTGATTAGTAAAAGTTGGAAATTATAGTTAAAAATACTTATTAATATTTTATAGTTTAAATGATCTAATTCAAGGTAACAAATATTTGCACTGAAATCCACATATTTTCAAAAGATAAACATATAATAATGAAAATATCCACAAGTAAAATAAAATAGTATTTCTGCTTCTCTTTTGTACTACTCCAATAATAGAAATGCTATAAAAATTAAGCCTCTCAATAGATGAACATATAAAGAAGATATATCTCACACACAGGTGCACATACAACACACACACACACACACACACACACACACACACACACACACACACACACGGGTTATCACTCAGCCATAAAAAAGAACAAAATCTTGCCATTTGTAACAACATGGGTAGAGCTAGAGGGTAAAATGCTAAGAGAAAGAGGTGAAACAAAGAAAGACAAATACCACAGGATTTCACTCATATGTGTAATTTAAGAAATAAAACAAACAAAATAAAAAAGAGACAAACCAAAAAATGGGCTTTTAATTAAAGAGAACAAACTGATGGTTACCAGAGGGAAGGTGGATTGGGGGATGGGTAAAATAGCTGATGAGATTAAGAGTACACCTATGATGATGAGCACGGACTAGTGTATAGAACTGTTGAATCACTATATTGTATACCTGAACTAATATAACACTATACATTAATGATACTGGAATTAAAAGTCTGAAAAAATTTAGCCTCTCAAAAAGTGATAAATTTTCGGGAAATCGATACCAGCCAACAGACAACTGATACTGACACAGTCTGTTAAGTTTTGCCAAAGGCATGGTTGATGTCCTATATGTAGAGCCTTCTTGTAATGTTAAACTGAACCATCAATCTACCTACTCAATGCTCCATGACATTTTTACTTTGACAAAGTAAAAAAATATACTAGTTATACTAGTATACTATATCCTATACTATATCCTAGTTATACTAGGATCTCTGCCATTCAGTGTTACTATTTAATTTAATTAATTAATTTCAGGGCAAGAGAATCTTAAGCAGGCTCCACACCCAGCATGGAGTCCATGCAGGGCTCAATCTCACAAACAGGAGACCTTGACCAGAGCCAAAATCAAGAGTCAGACAAGGAAGCTTAACTGACTGAGCCACCCAGGCACCCCACAGTGTTAGTATTTTAAAAGGCTGCCTAGCCCCAGCACTGTAGGATCTCCTCCTGCCCCTATGTGCTGGGGCCCCAATCAAAATAGTCATTTTCCTAATGTTCTCAGTACTTTCTTTCCTCATGTTTCTCCCTAGTGCTTCTACTCCAATCAGTCTGGCATAGTCCATTCACAAGAAACTCATCTTTGTATCTCCAGTTCTAGGCACACATTAGGCTCTCAATCAACAGCAAATGAGTGTAAAATTTACAACTAGGCCAGGATGAATGAATTCATTTTAGAAAGATTTTTAATGAAGTTAGAAGCCAAAAAGGTAAAATGTTAGTCATTAAATAGTGACAACAATATTAACCAGAACACTACATTATTATATTACTCTAGTTTACCATAGCCAAGTTCAGCAAATTAAAAAGCACTAGATTTTGTAAAGCTACTTTTCTATTTTAGCATATCTTAATTTATAAATAGATACAGATTCTAAACTTCACATAGTTGCCTTGAATTTTAAGGCAGGCTTTTTGACACTTGGGCTCTTGATCAGTAGATAAGGAATCAGCTAGACTCACATTTTCCATAAAAGCTTTCTTAAGCTAATTCAGACTACAGAGCCCTTCCCCTTACTTAGGATTTCTTCAGTGCTTAAGGAAACCTAGAGCAAGTTATTTTACACTTGGTGATGGACTACATTAACTGTGTCACAGAAGTATTATTTCATCCATTTAGTACAGTATGCCAAAAATCCCTAAAACAGGAATTTTTAAAGAGTGCCTTTTTGTATCCTTCTACAGACTCTAACACATTGCTGATCTCATAGAACTGAACAGCAGTCACTAAGAGTATGGGGTTTGGAATCAAACAGACTTGAGTTTTAACCCTGGCTCTATACTTATTAGCAGTACAAGAAAGTTACGGAATCTCTGCTTCATTTGTACAGAGGAGGTTAATGTGAGGAAAAAATGAGATAATGCATGTAAAGTACTTAGTATAGTGCCTACAACATGCAAGTGCACTAGATGGTAGCTGCAATTATCCCTTAACTTAGAATCAATGTGATGTGTTGCCTAAGGCTTTCCCTCTATTACATGATCCACAGATTTGAGCCTCTCTCATTTTTATCATCATCAGAGGTTTTGGGTTTGTTTTTTGTTGTTGTTGGCTTTTTTTTTTTTTTTTTTTTTTAATTTTCAGAGCTGTTTCTCCTATGTAGCAATAAAAGAGGGGCCAAAAAGAATCAGTAGACATGGGAAGGCAGAGCTGAGAATGAGCCAATGGCAGATAGTTCCTAAAGGATCAGGCAGAGAAGGAGCTAATGGGAAACAGGAAGAGTACTGGGCTCCTGCTTCATGCACTACTTCCTGGTGTCCAAGAAAGAGGCATCAGAGGCTTATCATCTAATGTTCAGCTCTAACATTTTCAAGGTATTTTTACATTATCTCATCAACTGCCTACCACAACTAAGAGTCTCACAATTACCTGTTGATGGTGACTGTTGTAACAGGTGGCCCCTTTTTGGGCACTGAAGATTTGACCAAAAAGGACCTTTAGATTCTGTATTTCATTATTTTATTATATAAGTCAAATGCTGTTTACTTAGTTACTGCATATTCTTTTTCTATATTATCCAGGCCCCTTATTTTTCTCTTTCTCCTGTATAATGTAAGCTTGGGTTAGTAAGTTATTAAAGTGGAAAAAGGGGGAAAAAATAAAATTATTATCAAATATGTAACTATTTATGATGCAGAATACCTAACAAGACTTAACGTGTAGCACTTATGGATGTGCCAATAAATTAAAAGATAATTTAAATTCCTGACTGAAGTTTTGTCCTCCTTATAGATAAGTAAAATTTAAGATTGTGAGAATAAACTGAATTGTATTTCAAAATGTACAACTTAAAAAACATACTTACTTTCCAAACCTCAACACGCCTGAAACGTAAGTCTGCCAATGAGCACAATAAAACATGAACATCCCAATAAAAGAGCAGAAAAACAACCAGTCAGGATGAGTTCCTAAGCGCACTGCAATTGAAGCTCCAACTGCCATAAATACTGAAAGAAACAAGGTTTAAGAACCATTAAGAATTAAAAATAATTAATGAAATAATTGCCATGTACTATTTAGAAATACAATTTTTAAAAAATGTAATCTTGGCATTATAATAAGGTACACTAAAAAAAATAATTTTTGAACATACTTTCAAAATACACTATGCAAATTTGCTCCCAAATGCACACTTACCACCAAAACTGACCATTCAAACAGCTCAGTCCATTTTTAGTTTTTGAGCCATCAGCAAAAAAAAAAAAAAAAAAAAAAAAGAAAGAAAAAGAAAAAGAAAACCTTCATTAACTTACCTGTGGAAAGAGAGTCACAACCATGGTCAAAAAGTTCCCCTAAAGGGGAACAAGAATTTGTTCTTCTGGCTTGTTTCCCATCAATAGCATCCAGTGACTGGTAGATAAAGAGTCCCAGTGCACATAAAAGGTATGTCCAGTATGGTGCCTAAAAATAAACGTAAATAATAAATATTCTTAAAAGACAACAAGCTAGCTTCTCTTTGAAAATAGTTCAACTTAAGCCAATTGACACATTTTCTTGTGTTCTCATCTTACATCACCTCAGAGTGTTATAAAAAACATTCATAACCCTCCTTTTACAGATGAGAACTAAATTGAGAAATCAAATGAACTGTTCTAAGTCATGTGGACAGAGGGACAAAGAAGACCATACTGTGAGAAACACAAAAATTAAATGAGCAAGGATTAGGACACTTATTTAGTTCCTAATCCACAGCTCTTTCAATATATTACTTACATATGGCACTAGATTTGAAATTATTCAGTAAGATTTTGCTATGAAAAATATCTTAAAGACAAACCACAGAACTCTGCTTCCATTCACGATGGAGTATCGGGGAACTGGATCTATTCTCCCACCTTATATAACCAGAAAAGCAGTAAAATAAATGAAGTAAGTTTTCAGACACTGCAGGCAGTGAAGCACTGTGAACCCTGACAGAGGGAAACATGAGGTGAGCCCTGTAACTACTCCAGCTTAGGACCTACAGGCAGACCACAGCATAGGAATGGGGAACCTGAACAGAGCCCAGTGATCTTGCTATGATGAGGAGAAGCGTAGCAGAATTCAGAAAGGTCAAAGCAGCTAGAATTTGTGGAGCACAGTACCAGAGAAAAGAGGAACACAAGATCTACAGAAGGGTACCTTTGAATCTTGGGCTGAGAAGTGACCTGTGCCTGAATGAAATAAAACTATTAACCAAGGCCAGGGAAAGAAACATTGAACAGCACAAGGCCGCATAATTCTTGAAGGCCACATAAAGCTGGGAATTTTTCATGTTCCCACCAGGCACAGCAGAAAGACTTTGTAATACCTAGGACATTGGGTAGAGTTAACAGAAATGTATTGCCTTAGCAGTGGTGAGAAATTAGCCCAAGTTAAACGCCTCTTGGTAGAGTCCTAACAGACATAAAGTCCAGCCTCAAAAGAATCCAACTGGTCCTATTTAACTCAACTATAGCCTGTACAAAGTACAATATCTTAAAGGGATTAAAAAAAATCTAATACCCAAAGATATAAAATTCATGTCTGGTATCTAATCAAAAATTACCAGTCATGCAAAGAGGCAGGAGAATATGTTCTACAACTAGAAGTAAAAACAATCAATACAATCAGACCCAGGAAATGACAGAAAAATGGAATTAGATGGAATTAGATGAGGCCATTAAAAGTTATTATAAATATGCTTCACATGTCCAAGAAGGTGAAAGAAAACATAAAAGACTCAAGTGAAACCCATTAATATTAAAAACAGCATTTGAAATGTAAAATATACTAGATAAAATTGGACAATGCAGAAGAAAAGATCAATGAACTTGGAGACTACTAATGGAACCTATCTAAAACGATGCAAAGAAAGAAAAAAGACTACCAATAATTGATCTGGGTATCACTGACTGGTGGGACAACAGAAGTAGTCTAACATTTTTATTGGCTTCTCGGGGAAGAGAAGAGACAGTTGAACATGAAAAATATAAGAAATAATGGCTGAAAGATTTCCAAATTTGATGAAATTTATAAACTTGCATATCCAAGAAGCTCAAACATCAACCAGAATAAATATTTTTTTTAAAACCCACCAAGGCACATCATAATCAGAAGCCAGAGAAAAACAGAAACATTATATATGGAAGTGTAGATACTGACAGAAGAAAGAGTCTGTAAACTTGAAGACAGATGAACAGAATTGATGCAATTTGAACAAGACAGAGAAAAAGAGACTTTAAAATGACCACTCTTTTCTTCAAGCACTTTGTAAATATACTCTTCTTCCTCAGGGATTTATGTGATGGTACGAATGGTCAACCCAGATTTCTATGTGTTAGAGAGGAAATACAGCAATATTATTAAGAAGTAGGGTTTGTTTGTTTTTTTTTAAGATTTTATTTACTATTTGTCAGAGAGAGAGGGGGAGAGAGCAAGCACAGGCAGACAGAATGGCAGGCAGAGGCAGAGGGTGAAGCAGGCTCCCCGCCGAGCAAGGAGCCCAACGTGGGACTCGATCCCAGGACGCTGGGATCATGACCTGAGCTGAAGGCAGCTGCTCAACCAACTGAGCCACCCAGGCGTCCCAAGAAGTAGGGTTTTGAAGTTAGATCTTGTTTGAGTCCTTGACTCTGTCATTTAATAGCCAAATAACCTTGGGCAAGTCACTCAACCTCTCTAAACCATGGTTACGCACCTGTAGGATATGAATACTCACAGTTCTCTCAGATGAAAAAATTCTAAGATAGCTCTTTACACAGAGCCCGGCACATAGTAAGTGCTCAGTAAAGGTTAGCTATTCTCACTAAGTTGTTTTGTATACTTTCAGTGGCAAATATAATTTTTAAAATACCAATCTATGTATGGTTTATGGGGGAATTCTACAAATATCCAATCAACCTGCTATCTTGTTCCTCAATCTTTCTAAGTAAATAGAAGTTTACTCTGAACTAATTTTAATAAAAACTTCATTTTTAAATATTAGATGCCCAGTATTAATGATGACACTACTAATTGCTTAAAAGGGCTTACTGAGTCTCTTCCACTTAAAAGACAAGCAGCATAAGTTAGAAATAATTGAAGAAGGGAAGCAACCTGAGTTATGAATATACATATTAAAATACCACAGTCAAAGAAACAATAAGCACTGGTGAGGATTTGGGGAAGAAGGAACACTTGTGCACTGTGGGTAGGAATGCAAACTGGCGCAGCCGCGATGGAAAACAGTCTGGAGGTTCCTCAGAAAATTAAAAATAGAACTACCCTAACGCCCAGTAATCACACTACTGGGTATTTAACCAAAGAATATGAAAACACTAACTTTAAAGTGTATATGCACCCCTATGTTTATTGCAGCATTATTTACAATAGCCAAATTATGGAAGCAGCCCAAGTGTCCTTCGGTAGATGAATGAATAAAGAAGATGTGACATATACACAGCCATAAAAAGAATGAAAATCTTGCCTTTTGCAACAACATGTACGGAACTAGAGAGTATAATGCTAAGTGAAATAATCTGAGAAAGACAAATACCGTATGATTTCACTCATATGTTGAATTTAAGAAACAAAATAAATGAACAAGGGAGAAAAAAGAGACAACCCCCAAAATGGACTCTTAACTATGGAGAACAAACAGAGGGTTACCAGAGGGGAGGGGACTGGGGAGATGGGTGAAATAGGAGACGGGGATGAAGGACTACACTTGTGATGAGCACTGAATAAGGTATAGAATTGAATCATTATATCATACACCTGAAACTAATACACGGATGTATGTTAACTATGTTGGAATTAAAATGAAAACTTAGTAAAAAAATTAAAAACTTAAATACTACATTCAATTCTGATTAGCATGTTTTTAAAGGCTTATCTGCAAACTATGAAACAATTAGGAGGGGGCTAAAAAAACAGAATTGGTAAATCCTTACAGCAGTACAAAAGTGGAAAAAACAAAACGAAACAAACCATCTGAGTTTTTCCTAGAATCTTTCTTGAAAGAATACAAAAGTGTTTTGCATAGAACAATCTCAGTGACTCTTTTCAAACTAGTAAATTCTTAACTATTTTTTCCTACTAGGAAAAATTATATTGTTTTAATTTTGATAACCAAAGGAAAGCAAAGTTACATTTCAAATCTATGTAAAATTGGAAATTGAAGTTATTAAAATTTCTAGAAGGACATAAAGTCACTTTTCTGATCTATTTTCCACCAAGTACTTTCCCCTTACATGACAGACTTCTAAAGAACATCATCTACCTGAGAGGTATTCCATTTCTCCCTTCTATGCACAGAACCTTCTTATACTGAGACACTGGAGCCAAGGTCCATGTTAAAAGCCTAATTCTGACCTCCAATTTGGTAGACTGGCAGCAGGCAAGTTCAAAGGTCAAAGTGTTAATGGAAATCCATACTGAGATAAATTTGGTCACTCCTGGACACCACAGTTGAAGGTGGACTCTGCCCATCATTTGGAAAAAGGAAAGGAAGCCTGGTTCACTAGTTTAAAACTACATCATTGAGCTACTAGAGTTAAGATTTAGAGCTTAAATGGGTAAAGAATGCAGGGGAATTTGAACAAGGAAACAAGAGAGGGGGTCTCGGCCTAAATGAAGGTTGAGGCCTGGAAAATGCGAGGTTTACTCATGAATCGGTGACCAGATCCCTGTTGCAGGATCAGAACATCAACAGTAGTCAGATTGGAAAGGCAGTAACATTATCTTAAACAGTACAACAAAGGGCATTTTCCAGCACTGTTTTATTTGATACAGCAATCCACAGAGATAGGGCAGCTATCATGTTCTTTTTATTAAAGTCGAAAGTAAAACTTAGAGAGGGCTGATCACATCCCATCCAGTGGCCAGACTGGGCCTGGGAATCAGACCTGGGTCTTCTGCCCTGCCCTACGATAAGGGCTCCATCAGACCACAGGCTGCAGAGTCCTGAATTCTTACTTCACGGCCTACTTATTCCTTCAGACCTGCTGAGAAGCACTATCCTGCTCACACAATCCAATTTCAAGTGTAATGAGCCTAAGGAAACGGCTGGGAGCCACGTGATGCTTGCCTCCTTTTAAACCCAGGAAGGCACACTAGTCCCCAGTACCTGGTTCATTCCTTTCCAGTCTTCCCAATGCCACAAAGGTCAAACCTATCTTTCCTTTTCCCTGATGTCATCACCTCCAACTCCACCTGAAGAAAGCTATTAAATAGCCTGCAAATTGTTATCTTCCTTCCTAACCTGTTATCTCTGCAAAACTGACTCTAGGTTGGAGATCCAATGGCCAGGAACCACAGGACCCTTCCTTCCAGAAGAATTCTCAAAACAGGTTTAATTACAGAAGAGACTCCAGGTTGAAGGAGGATCTACAAAAGCAACCCCAACTCATTTCACCTTTTCATGTCAACTTACTTTCAAAAATTTTCAACATAAGCATGGA